CACCACACCAGGCTAATTTTTCTGTTTTTAGTAGAGACAGGGTTTCACCATGTTGGCAAGGCTGGTGTTGAACTCCTGACCTCAAGTGAGCTGCCTGCCTCGGCCTCCCAAAGTGATGGGATTACAGGCATGAGCCACCATGCCCAGCCCAGAGTGCTTTCTTAACACACACACATCTTTGCTGCCCAATTCTTAATGTCTTCGGGACTAGGCCAAGAAATAAAACACCTCCTGCATGATTCTGATACACAGGCTTGGAAAGTCATGCTTTTTGTTTTACACAAAATGCACACATGTATGTACACACACACACGCATACACACACACACATTTGACTCGAAGACTGGGAAGGCACCTTTGGTACCATTTAGTACAACACTCCCACTCTACAGATAAGAAAATAGAGGCTCTGAGTGGTGAAGGAACTTTCCCGAATTAGACAGCAGTAAATCTGTAAGTGGAATCTGAGCCTGGAATGAGGGTAATCATGCATCTTCCTGCTTAGATGAGGATCACACTCTTCTTGCTGCCCAGCAGTGAGTGACCTCAGCTGCTCCCCTCAAGGCTATTTTTAGAATCCTTTGATTTCAAATTTCTTCCAGAGTTATTGGTCTGTTCAGGTATTACACTTAATGTGTCACTTTTGCAAATTTAGGTTTTCTGACAACTTCATTCACTTTAATCATAATGTTAAAGCTCATTAGCAAGAATCAAATTCCTATATAGTTTGTACAATGACTTCTGTAATTTTAAGCCCTTCTTTTAATGTAACATGTTTTCTTTTAAAATACAGATCCATATTTGTATTAAATATTTTTTCTCTTTCCTTTTTTTTTTCTGATATGGAGTTTCACTCTTGTTTCCCAGGCTGGAGTGCAGTGGCGTGATCTTGGCTCACTGCAACCTCCGCCTCCTGGGTTCAAGCTATCCTCCTGCCTCAGCCTCCCGAGTAGCTGGGACTACAGGCGCACACCACCATAGCTGGCTAATTTTTGTACTTTTAGTAGAGATGGGGTTTTACCATTTAATCAGGCTGCTCTCAAACTCCTGACCTCAGATGATCCACCAGTCTCGGCCTCCCAAAATGTTGGGATTACAGGCATGCACCACCGTGCCCAGCCTGAATTAAACATATTATACCACTTCATAGTTCTTTAAATATTTTTTGACAGTTACATTAAGTTTAATAACTGTGATAACAGCAGTATTTTTGGACAGTGGCTTTAAGTTTCATTTATTTTATTGCTCACTGTTTTGTTTTGTACTCTGCCATTACTATTTATAAGTTCTTTATTTTGGTTCATTTCTTGCTCAGCTCGAATATCTCGAGTAATTTCAGGACAGGTGTGTGGGTGAGGAACTTTCTGAGAATTTTTATATGTCATATGTCATTCATTCTGGCTCACGAGTTACAGCTTTGCCAATTATAGACCTGGCATAATTCATAATTTCTCACCCTCAAAATATTCACAGAAACCCAAGATAATCAACTGAAAAATGGCTGTACCCAACAACAGAGTTAGGTAAAGTGGTTGGGCACAAATTAATATAGAAATCAATATTATCTAACTACGCATATAAAAAAGTTATGTTGGGGAAACAAGATTCTACCCCTAACAGCAGCAAAAAGAATACAAATGTTTTTTTAAAAAACTTTAAAAATATACAAGATTTTATAAAGAAAATATTTGAGAGACACAAAAAAAGCAAAAGTAAATGGAAATGCATATTCTGTTGTTAGGAAGATTCAACATCATAAAGAATCAATTCAAAAAAGATCAAAGATCTAAATATAAAATGCTAAAACTATAACACTTTTAGAAGGAAAACTGGGGGAATGCTTCATTGCATTGGATTTGTCAAAGATTTCTTGGATATAACATCAAAAGTATAGGCAACAAAAGAAAAAACATTTAAATATCAAAATTTAAAACTCTGTGCATCAAAGGGTACAACCTACAGAGTGAAAAGGCAAGCCACAGAATGGAAGAAAATATTTGCAAATTATATATCTGATTAAGGGCTAACATCCTGAATATATAAAGAATTCCTATTTAACTCAACAACAAAAACAAACCACCCAATTTGTTAATTCTCCATAAGTTTCAACCTGGAGAATAAGAAGGAAGGAGGGAAGGAGGGAGGGTGGGATGGTGGGAGAGAAGGGAGGGGGGGAAAGAAGAAACGGAGGAAGGTAATTATTGATATGTGTCAGGCACGACGTTGCGCATTTTCACTTCATTACTTAGTTTGATCATCACAATTACCCTGTGACGTTATCATAATCATTCACATTTCCTGCAGCTCAGGGAGGGTAAGTCATTTCTTCACTCAAGTTCCTATGGTCACAATTCCTGAGTTTGAAGTCCGTGCAAAGTTGGCCTAACTCTCCAAGCCCGTGTTCTTTCCTATGTCGTGTTCATAGGAAGTCATTTCTACTGTTTTCTATACACGTAAAGGACTGAGTGTACTGTTTCGTCTTAGTGTTGTAATTTGAGGCTTCCAGGGAAGATGACTTGCGTAAAAATTGCCTGAGTTTCCACTGTTAGTGATTCATTCCCCTTGGGTTTGAGCTGTTCACTTCCCTGTCCTAGCTTAGTTTTCAAGATGTAAGACTCTTGGAGGATGATTTGGCCACCAGGGGAGTCTGTTACAGCAGTGATGGCAGCCAGTGGGCAGGAGGAGGACTCCGGGGCCAGGAGAGGGAGGAAATGAAAAAAGGCAGGTGGACATGGTGTGGAGGTGCAGGGAGGGCAGAAGATGAAGTAAATGTATGTGAAAAGAAAGAACCACTGAAGAAGCAGAGACAAGACTGCCTACTCCCCAACTGTGCTCAAGCCCTTCTCTACCAAGGAAGGGGCACAGGAATGCTCAGGAAGACCACAGTTGTGGCCAAGGCCAAGAAGAAATGGAATGAGGATGAAGGAGGGGAAGGAGAAAGATGCTAACGTGTACACAGCACTGACCCTGGGCCAGATACTGTGCTTAGGGCTTGAAGCACATGATCTCATTTATTTTGAGCTGCTGTAGAACACTCTGGACTTGCAAAGATGAGGAAGTTCTGCTCCTATTGGCTAAAAGCCTTCGCCAAGGACACACGGATAGTGCAGAGAGGATTTGAACTAAGGTCTCTCTGGTGCACTCTACCCAGGTAGAGTGCTGAAAAGACAACAGGATGTATAATATCACCTTTGCATATAATAATTTTTATAATAGCATCCAATAGAAATCAAAAGCTTACTATGTGAAAGGCACTGTTGTAGGTGTTTTCTATGAAGTCATTAAATCTATGTGAGGTAGACACTCCTTATCTATGTGAGGTAGACACTCTTTACCCCCATTTTACAGATGAGGAGACTGAGGTATAGAGCATTCTCTCAGCTGGTAAATGAAGTACACGCTAGGCAATTCAGCTTCTCCATGCAAGTAAGGGTAGCTATAATGGAGCCAGGGATGGGAAAACTGAAATTACTGCCAAGATGGGGAACCAGAGGAAAACCATAACAATAAACCAAGGCATAAACTCCAGGCAGCAACCGAATTCTTTGGGTGCCTGGGCTAAACCGTGGGCACTCACACTGGAGACTCTTTAATCCTGCCACCTTTGAACTGGGAGCCCTTCTTAATTGTCAGCAAATGCTTATAGGAGAATAAAGCAGCAAATGAATGTAATTGTAAAAACTCAAGAAGGGCCAATTGCACATATATTGGCAGCTTTCTGGCTTTTCTGGATGTGGAAAAAAATTGCAACTGTGACAAATTGCATTTGTTGCAGGCTGCTCATTTTCTTTTCCTTAAAGACAGGGTCTTGCTCTGCTTCCCAGGCTGGAGTGCACTGGTGTGACCATAGCTCACTGCAGCCTTGACCTCCTAGGCTTAAGTGATCCTCCTGCCTCAGTCTCTCAAATAGCTGGAACTACAGGCACACGCCACAATGCCTGGCTAATTTTTAATTTGTTTTTATAGACATAGGGTTTCACCATGTTGCCAAGCTGATCTTGAACTCCTGAGCTCAAGCAATCTGCTGACCTCAGCCTCCCAAAGTGCTGGGATTACAGGCATGAGCCACCTGTAATCCCTGCAAGTGTGAGCCACCTGCAGCCTGACACAGGCTGCTCATTTCCTACAGATAGAATCATTTCTAGTTTGTAAGACAGAGATGAATATTTCATAGCTTTGGACAAGGAAGGTTTTTCTCCTTCCAGAGCACTGTGACTTCTAGATACTTTACTATCAGAATTAGTTTGGGATAAACTGGTCCAATCCATTATCTTTTCCCTTGCACAGCTTTTTTTCTCTTCCAGAGTGATAAACCGTTTACCACCCTGTCTTCTCTCTATTAACCCAACAGCAGGCAATTGTTCTCAGACATGGGCACAACCATCTTTTCTGGTCTCCTTTTTACTCTCTTTAAACTCTTGCCCAATTATGCAAGAAAAATATCTCACCTTCTCCCCCTCCATCCCATTCATGAGTATGCTTTAGAGTGAAACCTCTCTAACAAGAAAACAAATACTCACCAGGGTTTGTGAACAGAACTGAAATTAGACGCTCCTCCCAATACTTGGCCAGGTGTGGTTTTTACAACTTTTTGTGAAACAAACACTGATTTCAAGAGTCCCATTTAGCCCAGTCTAGAACACTCTAGAACTCTAAGGGACCATTTGCTATGACATTAGGGCATCAGGCACTGATGCAGTCTCTCCCAACTTCTCACCAAATATACCAGATAGAGAGATAAATAGAGAGATAGAGGAAAAAATGAACACACATGCATACAATCCAAACAGAAACCAACTCTGACAGGCCAGAATCAGGGACTGACCTTATGTCTAAGTCAGATGGAAATGGATTAAGAAAATCCAGGCTGAAGCTCGAGCCAAAAGTCTCTACAATAAGTGGGTACACCTTGCATCATGGCTGAGTACAGTTTGGTCCCCAAGTGGGTGTGCACTTTTTCCTTGGATACTTCATCCCTTTTGTCTTTTCCTTTAATGCAGACTGATGCAACACATTCACTGAGATGGAGAAGTTTGAGGAGAGGATAATTTGGGAGTGGAAAACAAGAGTCCTTCTTTGTCCGAGTTCTATCCCCATCTGACCCCAGTGGAGAGGTCTGGGCTATAGCTCTCTATTTGGGAGTTCACATGGTACCATGGTCACTGAGGCTGTGAACCATGTGAAGAGAGAAGTGTGGAGAGAACACCTCCAGTGTTAAGAGGTGGCACTGGAAGAATCACCAAAGGAACACTGAGAAGATGCAGCTCATGAACAGGAAGAGAACACGATGTCCCAGGATCCAAAACAAGTGTGTTTCAAGGAGGGAGTGGGGAATGCTGCTGCAAGATCTACAACATGAGGGCAGAGAAGTGGCCACTGCATCTGGTGACGTGGAGGGTTTGGGTGAGCATGAAGGAACAAGTGCAGGGAGAATACCAAACGGAAAGGGCTGAGGAGAGAGAAGAAGTGGCAGAGAGGCAACTCCTTTGGGAAGCTTTGCTCAAGACTTGGGTTTATGAGATGCCCCAGAATCCTTCTGTTAAGTTCCTTTTTGTTTTTCTTTACCTAGCACAAGTTCATTCGCTGTCATAGTGACCAAAAGAACCCTAAGGGGCTTCCAGTTTGAAAAAAAAAAGTCTCTATCTATGTCAAAAGAAAAACCACCTGTATTAGTCAATTTTTCTGCTGCTGCTAAAGACATACTTGAGACTGGTGTGGAGAAAAAGAGGTTTAATTGGACTTGCAGTTCCACATGGCTGGGGAGGCCTCAGAATCATGGCAGGAGGCAAAAGGCATGTCATACATGGCAGTGGCCAGAGAAAATGAGGAAGATGCAAAAGCAGAAACCCCTGATAGAACCATCAGATCTCGTGAGACTTAATACCTCGAGAACAGTATGGGGAAAACCACCCCCATGATTCAAATTGTGTCCCACCAGGTCCCCCCTCTACAACATGTGGGATATATGGGAGTACAATTCAGGATGAGATTTGGATGGGGACACAGAGCCAAACCATACCATTCTGCTCTGACCCCTCCAAATCTCATGTCCTCACACTTTGAAACCAAACATGCCTTCCCAACAGTCCCCCAAAGTCTTAACTCATTTCAGATTTAATTCAAAAGTCCACAGTCCAAAGTCTTATCTGAGACAAGGCAAGTCCCTTCCACCTATGAGCCTGTAAAATCAAAAGCAAGTCCGTTACTTACTAGATACAATGAGGGTACAGTCATTGGGTAAATACAGCCATTCCAAACAGGGGAAATTGGCCAAAACAAAGGGGTTACAGGTCCTGTGCAAGTCCAAAATCCAGCAGGGCAGTCAAATCTTAAAGCTCCAAAATGATCCCCTTTGACACCATGTCTCACAACTGGCTCACGCTGATGCAAGAGGTAGGCTCCTATGGTCTTGGGCAGCTCTGCCCCTGTGGCTTTGCAGGGTACAGACTCCCTCCCAGATGCTTTCATGGGCTGGCGTTGAGTGTCTACAGGTTTTCCAGGCACACAGGGCAAGCTGTCGGGGGATTTGCCATTCTGGGGTCTGGAGGACACTGGCCCTCTTCTCACAGGTCCATCAGGCAGTGCCCCTGTAGGGACTCTGTTTGGGGACTCCAACCCCACATTTCCCTTCTGCACTGTCCTAGCAGAGGTTCTCCATGAGTGCTCCGCCCCTACAGCAAACTTCTGCCTGGATATCCGGGATTTCCATACATCTTCTGAAATCTAGGCAGACATTCCCAAACTGAGAAAAGGGTACAAAGAATCTCTCTTTATTGTTTCATAGAACTACATATGAATGTACAATTTATCTCAATATTTAACAGTCTAATTAAGAATGCAAAATTAAGAGCCTTGTACAAATAAGTTTAAAATGTTAAAAGATAAGCTTTAAAACTACCTAGAATAACCACTGCCAACATTCTGATCTTTATCCTTCTAAAAACGTTATTTTTTGAAATCCCACAGATCATACTCAAATATATTTATCTCATAAAAGAGGTGCTATTTGAGAGTCCACTCCAAAGAAGGGGTATTTTCACCATTAGATGTGAAGGAATAATTGGCACTGGACTAAGCCTCCCTCCATAAACAATTGTAGGACGAGCCAAAAGAGTTGAAGCAACTGTTTATAGACACTGGACAACAGGCAAGCACAGGCCTGTAATCCCTCAGAGAAGAGAAATACACAAGGTGAGCCTCTTGATTTTCCTGGCTTTCTGCTGGAAGGCCCTTCCATGGTTTAAAGCATAGAGGTAGAACCCAAGCAGAGTACAGAGGGCTTTCTGAGTTGAGGAGCCAGAAATTGGAGTTTGGAGTCTAGAAATGGCTGGGATGTGTGGGGCAAGAAACTGGAAAAGAGGGAAATGTGAAAAAGAGGAGGTCAAGAAGACCTTAGCTGAATACTAAGCTGTGCATGCAGGGTAAGACCGTGTGAAGCCTGGCAGAAACAGCTACTGGAAAGCCTGGAGTTGAGCAGAGGTTCTAGAAGTTGCAAAGTGCTGGGAGACATTGAATTTCCAATCAGCCAGGGTGGAGGAACATCACTGAATACCTCAGGCATTCAACTGAGATCCTAGAAGGGCAATGCTTGGCATCTAGACATCCATTAAGTTTTAAGAAACACTTGAAGGGATCCTGCTTATCCAACTATAACTTAAGTGCCTGCCAGAATACAATTCTTTAAAGAAAAACAAGAAAATCCAGACTCTCAAGAATGTGGCATCCACAATGCCTAGAATACATTTAAAAATTACTAGACAGAGGCTGGGCGCAGTGGCCTATGCCTGTAATCCCAGCACTTTGGGAGGCCGAGGCAGGAGGATCATGAGGTCAAGAGATTGAGACCATCCTGGCCAACATGGTGAAACCCCATCTCTACTAAAAAAACACAAAAACTAGCTGGGCATGGTGGCATGTACCTGTAGTCCCAGCTATTCGAGAGACTGAGGCACTTGGCTAATTTTTGTAGTTTTAGTAGAGACGAGGTTTCCCCATATTGGTCAGTCTGGTTAAAAATGTTTTTTAAATAGCTATTCTATCAGACCTTTAAGAAAGAAATAATATCAATCTTAAATTCTTTCATAAAATAGAGAAGGAGGAAACACTTCCCAATTCATTGATGAAACCAGCATAATCCTGATGTCAAAATTAGACAGTAATGTGACAAAGAATAAAACAGATCAATATCTCTCATTTTACATTTCAAGATGCAAAAATTCTGAACAAAATAATTAAAAATGAAGTCTAGAAATACACAAATATAATTCTTTCTAAAATAAGTAAAAATATGTAAAAAGACCAAATGGGACTTATCCACTTGGAATGCTGTACTTGGAAGGTTGTTTTAATGTGCAAAAATTAATGTAATTCACCACATTTATAAAAAAGAGGGGAAAAATCACATAACCACTTCATGGATACACAAAAAACATTTGAAAAAACTCAACCCTTGTTTATAAGAACTCTCAGTAAGAGGGAACTCCTCAAACTGATAAGAGCAGCTATGAAAAATCAGTAGTTAACATCATACTTAAAGGTGATAGCTGAACACTTTTCACCTACTATTGGGAACAAAGCAAGGACGTCTGTTTGTCACCACTTCCATTCAACATTGTACTGGAGGTCATAGCCATCGCCATAAGGCAAGGCAAAAACACGTACATATCTTATTCTCAGATAACATGACTGTATATGTAGAAAATCCTAAAGAATCTATTAAAAACTACCATAAGTGAATTTATCAAGGTTACAGAATACGTCAGTATTTAAAAATCAATTGTACTTTTTTTTTTTTTTTTTTTGAGATGGAATCTCACTCTGTCATCCAGGCTGGAATGCAATGGCATGGTCTTAGCTCACTGCAGCCTCCGCCTCCCCGGTTCAAGTGATTCTCCTGCCTCAGCCTGTCAAGCAGCTGGGACTACAGGTGCATGCCACTATGCCCAACAAATTTTTTGTATTTTTAGTAGAGTTGGGGTTTCACCATGTCAGCCAGGATGGTCTCGATCTTCTGACTTCGTGATCCGCCCACCTCGGCCTCCCAAAGTGCTGGGATTACAGGCATGAGTCAATTGTACTTCTATATGTTAGTAACTACCAATTAGAAAGTGAAGTTTTTAGAAACACCATTCATAATAGCATCAAAAAAACAAAATTCTAAGGGATAAATTTACCAAAGAATGTCCAAAATCCCCATCTACAAGACATTGCTAAGATTAAATTACATTAAAACTACAAGACATTGCTAAGATAGATCAAAGAATAAGTGGAGAGATATGCCATATTTATGAGTCAGAAGACTCAGTATGGATAATATGTCAGTTTTCCTCCAGGTTGATCTATGGATTCAATATGATCACAGTCAATAGCTCAGCAAACTTTAAAAAGTAGAAATGGATAAACATTTTAAAATGTATGTGGAAATACCAAAGACTTAAAATAGCTAACCCAGTTTGGGAAAAGGACAGTTTTACGACTCATTCTATCTCATTTTAAGATTTGCTCTAAGGCTACAGTAATCAAGACAATCGGTACTGATGCCTTAAGCACAAGTAGCTCAATGTATCAACACAAAAGTCATATCATGGGTTTTTTGTTTAACATAAATAGAACCACAGCACACGTTCTATGCACAGTTGTCTCTGAGAAAGCATATCTGATTACACCATTCTCTCCCAGCCCTCCAAAACCTTTCCTATGGGTTTTGACTGCTTTGAGTCAAAGCTCAAGCCCCTAACATGGGTCACTAGACCCCAGGAGGTCAGTGCCCCCCTTCCTTGGCCAGTCTCATACCTTTACCTTTCCCCTCCATGATAAACTTCTTCCTGCATATGCTGCCTCTGCCTGAAACATTTTCCCCACCTTTTCCTGCTTCTAATGTGGATCCTAATACGCATTCTTCTGTCTTCCATTTCTAGGTCACTTCTTCAGGGAAGACCTTCTGACCCTCAGGCTTGGCTGGATGCTCACCCCCACCCTTTTAGCTCCCAGAGCCTCTCTGCTTCCACTGTGCCTGCGTTATTACTATGCCCATTTCCTCTACTGGGCTTTCAGCTCTGACGTCAGTTTCCCCATCTACCAGAATGGTTCTAACCCCAGTGCCTGGCACAGGGTCTAGGTCCATTCTCCCTGGAAAGTTACACGAGCGAGCAAACCAAAGCCCTACCCAAATATGTGCCCATGATGTTATGACCTTATGAGCAATAGGGGATATTCCTCAGGCTTCAAGGGGAAATCACGTCTATTGCAAGGTTGCAGTGAGTCAGCCCTCGGAGGTGTTGAATGAGTCGTTTCTGGCCACCCACAGTGTGGGCAGGTTGCCTGGCAGACCTGCTTCCTTCCGTGTTTCCTCTGCCAGAGGCCAAAGGAAGAGATGCAGGTCAGAACCCAGGCTTCCTGGGAGCTGTTCCTAAGACCTCCGAGTACAAATACAGGAGAATTGATGTTTCCATTAATTTATTTATTTATGTACATTGTGCCCTCCCCTCATGCTATCCCCATGCTAACCTAGAACGCAACCACCTTGAGGAAGGTTTGTGGCAGGAAAATGAACAGCTTGGAGCTCCTGGACAGCTCCTGGCAGGATGGGGCTCAGCATTGGAGTTCAGTCAATGTAAGAAACAGGTGGTTATTTCCTTTTCTTTTATAGACTTTAATTCTTAAAGTAGTTTTAGGTTTATAGAAATATTAAACAGAAAGTACAGCGAGTTCCTACATACTCCCTCTCCTTCCCCTCCCACCCACGGTTTCCTCTATTATTAATATCTTCCATTAGTGTAGTACATTCGTTACAACCGATAAACCAATATTGATACAACAGTATTAACTGAAGTCCACAGTATGCATTAGGGTGCACTCTGTGTTGTACAATTCTATGGGTTTTTCCAAACATATAATGTCAATACACATTACAGTATCACAGAATATTTTCACTGCTCAAAAAATCCCCTATACTCCATCTATTCATCCTACTCCACGCAACATCTGGCAGCCTTCTTTTTACTGTCTCCACAGTTCTGCCTTTTCTAGGCAAATTATTCATGCTGTATAATTCCATGACACAGTTGGAATTATACAGCATGTAGTTTTTTTCAGATTGGCGTCTTTCATTTAGCAATATGCATGTACTCAAGGTTCTACCATGTTTTTTCATGACTTGATAGCTCATTTCTTTTTTCCAACTAAATAATATTCCATTGTATGGATGTGCCTTTATAGTAAGTCTTAAAAGTCTTGTTAGTAAGTCTTAGTAAGTTAGTAATGTCAGCCTTCTGCCTTTGCTCTTCTTCAATATTGCGTTGTCTAGGTCTTTTTCTTTTCGTGTAAGTGTTAGAATGAGTTTGTCAATATTCAAAAAGTAATTTATTGGAGTCTTAATTGAGGTTGCATCACGTCTATAAAGCTGGAAGAACTAACGCCTTAGCAATAGTGAGTCTTCCTATACATGAACATGGAATACCTCTCCATTTGTTTAGATTTTTGTAGATTTTTTCATCACTTTTGTTGTTTTCTCATATAAATCTTGTACATATTGTGTTAGACTCATATTTGATTATTTCATTTTTTGGTGCTAATGTAAATGGTATTGCATTTTTAATTTCAAATTCCAATTGTTCATGGCTGGTATATAGGCAAGCACTTGACTTTTGTGTATTAATCTTGCATTCAGCAACCTTACTATAATTGCTTAGTTCCAGGAATGTTGTTATTTGTCATGGTTGAGTCTTTGGGATTTTATACATAAACAATCATGTTATTGATGAACAAAAACTTCCTTCCTAATCTGTATGCCTCTCATCTCCTTTTGTTACATTTTTGCGTTAGGTAGGGCTTCCAGTATGATGTTAAATATGAGTGGTAAGTGAAGACATCTTTGCGTTGGTCCCAGTCTTAACGGGAAAGCATCTAGTTTCTCACCATAATGTTAGCTGTAAGTTTTCTGTATATGTATTTTATCAAGTTCAAGAAGTTCCTCTCTATTTCTAGTGTGCTGAGAATTTTTATCATAAATGAGTATTGGATCTTGTCAAATGCTTCCTCTGTGTCTATTTTTATGATTTTTCTTCTTCAGCCTGTTAATATAGTAGACTACATTAACTGACTTTCATATATTGAATCAGCCTTTCATCTCCAGAATAAATCCCTCTTGGCTGTGATCTATAATTCTTTTCATATATTGTTGGATTCAATTTGCTAATGTTTTGTTGAGGATTTTCACATCTATATTCATGAAATATATTGATCTGTAGTTTTCCTTTCTTGTAGTATTTTTGTCTGGTTTTGGTATTAGGTAATGCTGGCCTCATAGAATGAGTTAGAAAGCATTTCCTCTTCTTCTATTTTCTGGAATGAACTATACAGAGTTGCCACCATTTATTCTTTTTTCTTTTCTTTCCTTTTTTTTGTTTTGAGACAGTGTTTCAGTCTTCTTGCCCAGGCTGGAGTGCAATGGCATGACCTTGGCTCACTGCAACTTCTACCTCCCAGGTTCAAGCAATTCTCCTGCCTCAACCTCCCAAGCAGCTGGGATTACAGGTACCTGCTACCACCCCAGCTAATTTTTTGTATTCTTAGTAGAGACGGGGGTTTCACCATGTTGGCCAGGCTGGTCTTGAACTCCTGACCTCGGGTGATCCGCCCACCTCGACCTCCCAAAGTGCTGGGATTACAGGCATGAGCCACCGCGCCCAGCCATTTTTTTCTTTAAGTGTTTGGTAGAATTCACCAGTGAAACCATCTGGGCCTGAGACTTTTTGTTTTGAAAGATTATTAATGATTGATTCAATTTATTTAATAGAT